CGCTTCCCAAGCGGCGCACTAGCGCAGTGCGCCACCGGGCCAGCCCCAACATTTTTTATTTTTAATTGTACATATTTGTGGAGTACAGTGGGTTGTTTCATGCATGCACATATTTAGTGATCCACTGAGGGTGAGTAGTATATTCATCACTTGAACATTTATCTTTTCTTTATGGAGACTATGTTCGAGATCCTTTTTTCTAGCTATTTAGAAATACACAAAAGAATATTAGCTATATTCAGCCTAGAACACCAGAACTTATTCTTCCTATCTATGTGTAACTTTGTGCCCATTAACCCACCTCTTCCCCTGTCCCCACCCTCTTACCTTCCCAGACTCTTGTAGTCATAATTCTACCCTCTATTTCTAAGAGAACCACTTAAAAAAAAAAATTCTAGCTTTTATAAGTTATATAGAACCAGTTCCAAACAGGTTTTATAAGCCAGGCCAGAGAATGTCCATAGTGACAGGTGAGGTTTCCCTCATGGCTGGTGTATGATAACTGTCTTCAGGAATAAGCCAAAGGATAAGGTGTCAGCAAAGCCACCAGGCGAATGTTATTCTTGTTATTGTCACTAACAAAAATATCAACAGTTGCTATTTACTCAAGGCTGACTTGATACAAGGCACTCTCAGTGGTTCTGAGAGACAGATGCAGGGCTATATTTTTGAAACTGAGACGAAAGAAATTAAGTAACTTGTTTAAGGTAGCACAGCTTAGAGGTTGCAGAGCAAGGACTCAAAACCTAGTCTCTGATTTAAGACTTTGTTGTACTATTTAGTCCAATTGTTTCTGGGACTGTCAAGTTCATTTTGATATAATTATGAAAAAATGCATTCAAGTTATATAAAAATATTAAAATAAACATTGCCGAATATTAAGACATCAGGTTTTTCATGCACAGATAATTAGACAGAATCAAAATGTTTATAAAACTATTATTCCCTTCCCGGAAAGGCTGAACACTCAAAAGTATTTGCAGAATCTTATATCTGTGTATTTTGGGTTAGAAGATGTGTCAAGTGGCATCCCAAATTTTCCTGGTAAATTTCAGCACTTATTGAAAATTAAATTGTTTTAGATTAAATCTAGTCCTTTCCCCCCAATTTTACATCTCTGATATAGCTAATTGTGTCTGCTTCCAAGATTATTATCTACCAATCTATGTTTTTCTCCTTACTTAGAATAAACAGAAAAATGTTGGGATGTTTGTATATCATTGAAAAATTGTACGTAATTATCTCTATATCCTTTGACGTGTTTAGCCACAGTAATAATAATCACATCTATTTTAAAGTACTTTAGAGATTACAAAGTGTTTTTACACATTATTTTTGTGATCCTCACCATAGCCACAAGCCGTAAAATTTAACCTTTTTTTAAGGATGGAGAAAGCATGTTTATAATGGGCAAGTAATCTCCTCCAGCTCACATAAGCGTACTTCAAAACATTTGTGGGAGAATTAGTGCTGTCCTTCAATTCGGCTTTTCCGTGAGGTACCCTCATACATTTAGCTAAGGCAACGTGAGACCGGATTTCCTGATGCTAAATGATAAAAGCCTGCTGGGTCATCTCTGTCTTTGCCCTCCTTTCTACTCCTCTTGGTTCCCTCATCCCCATCTTCTCCCTTCCCTTCCACTTTTCTCCCTTGTTCCCCACCTGTTTTTCTCTCTCACCTTCTATCCATCAACCTTCTATGAGTACCTTTCCACTGAACTCCCCTTGCCTCAGGTGCACTATGACTATTTACAGTGACCAAACAGAGTCATAAATTTCTCTTAGCCAATTCGCAAACAGCTTTTGGAGCAGTTTTGAGGAATAGATCAAGAACTAGATTGTAAGCACTTTGAGCTCAGGAAGGTTGTTTTGTTCACTGCTAAATTCTTAGGACTTAGAAGAAAGGAGATATTCAATAAATACTGCTTGGATGAATGAATGAATGATCTAAGAAAAAACTGTCAGGTGTGTATGAGCACTTGGCAATTTCTAATTTACTTGCATATTTTTCCTAATAAATTGTCCACTCTGCTGTCCATTTGGTAGCTGGTTTTGAGAGACATGGTTGACATTTCTTTGTTGCGTTATTTGATGTCAGTGCTATTGAGCATTAAATCACCACTCCCAAATGGTACAAAGTGCTATAGGCACACAGAAGATTTCAAATTTACTTTCACGTATGTAGTTTGCTCTCTCTTCTTTCTCAGCACACCATATATTAATTATAAATCGATGACTGAAAATAACTATTCATATTACATTATACTCTTTTACTTTATGATTTGATAGTATTTTATGACTCAACACATTTTGAAGGACTTTGGGTTTCTCCTCATAGGAAGTAAAAATCCTATGTCTTTTCTATAAACACACAATAATGCATGCAGCCTCGCCCTGTTAGTTTTCATGAACTTTTGCATTCAGACTGTGCAGAGCAAGAGTTCTGGTTAACAATAGAGCCATTGAAATTCTCCAAATGACTTTTAACTATAAAGCCAACTCCTTTTTAAAGACCAAGAGGAAGAGTTAGAGAAAAAATAAAGACTTCTTTAAATTTCATAGAAAGTCCCATGTATTCACATAGATTAAATAAATGGCTCGTGAACTTTTATTATCTTATCTTTGTACTATGATATCCTTACGTGATAATCTATTTCAGTTTTCAAGACGTTTCTAAATTTTTACTTGTATTTAGTAGAATGTCTGTTTTGCATTTTTTTTTTTTCATCTTAGACTCAGCTGGGTCAAGGATTACCTCCGTTCTAAAGCAAACAATTGATTTTGATAGGAAGTTTAAGTGGCTTCATGGTTGAGTAGCTGGAAAAGACAGTGTTCTAAGAACTGATGCATGCATGGTTTCTTCTTTAGTGATCATGGGAATGCCAGGCCTGAGATTCTTATTTATTATATTTGCTGAACTTGTGTGTACTGTAAGGGAATGAGGCTTGAATACTGGAAGGAGCAAAAACACTTTAAAGGGAGGTTCTTTCTCCTCAAAGAGATGGCAGAGCTAAATGGGAGAAATACACATCTTGGAGTCTGACACCCATGAGCTTTAATCCTAACTCTGCCATTAACTGACTGACACATAGTCGATAATCAATGAATATCATTGATCCTTGTGTGAATTAAATGTAAAGGACCCAATCAAGTGCCCAGACCATAGTGTATATTCAATAAATCATTGCTATCATTATTTATAATTGCACAGTAGCAGAGACAGATACACATAGCCAAAGACCAGTCTTTGCCCGGGCCACTGTGTTTGGGATTTGGTGCAGGTGCAGGACTGTATGGAAGGAGACCCAGGCAATGTGTTACACAATCTTAGTGAATTGGCCTTAAGCAGCTGTCTTCTCTCCCCAGTCTTCACTTCCTTCTCACAGTTTCTAATTCCTGATCCCAGGAACACAGAATAAAACTAACACTTTATGTAGAATCTTTATTTACTTAAGGAAATAAATTTATTTTTGCCACAACTGAACATGACCTGATAGATGCATGAGAAGTTTGATTTGTAAATCTTGAAGTTATCTTTGCAAACACATGAAACAGAAGTGGGCTTAATAAGCTTTCTGCTAGGATAAAGTTTTTCTGTGAGGTCGAGGAGACTTCAGATGCCTTCATTAGTGTCACATTACAGGCTGTCCATACACATATTTTTATTCATATTTTTTTTCTAAGAATACTATTAGGTTTTATTTTATATCAATAGGAAATATACAAGATAACAAAAGCAATGTGAAATTATCTGTTACTTCATAAATAATACAGTTTAAAAAGTAAATCAAATAAGCCATATTCTCTAGTAGTCTGTGGTCATCATTGTTAAAGCCCAAATAATATCCACTAAGAGGGAAAACAAACCAAATATCTTAATTTCTAAATTACATCAGAAAAACGCACTTTTTGACTCACTTGATTACACAAAAGACTTTGCAGGAATGACGACATTTTGTTTCTTTTGCATTCCATGGGGTGCTGGGTACCTTCACACAATATTTCCTCATCGACTCCCACCTTCTATCTACCTTCCTTTCCACCACTAAACTCCCTGTGAGCAGATGACATTTTCTCCTACATAAATGGTTAAATTAAGAAGATCTGGTTCCATTTCAGATTAACTCTACATAATTCTCACCTCAACAGTTCTTTTGTTATCCTCGCAGCAGATACTTCCTGAGAGAAGTATCCCTTTTCCTTTCTGAAACCTGAACTTCAACTCAGACCCTGATCTTGTCAGGACTCCAACGTCCCTCAAACCTGAAGACACCAATTCTTCGGGCTTTCCTACTCCTCTTCCTTCTTTTCTCTACGGCTTTGGTTCAGCCTAGGACCTTGGGTCCCACGCCTGCTGATGGAGGTGGAGGGTCCACTCTGCTCAGCCCACTCTCACCTGCCATTGTCTCATTTTCCCATGGATCTCACTGCCTTTTCTGGAAGGCATTCTTTTTCTCCTTTTGCTTTAAAAGGCTTTTATTTTTAATTATAGTGATCCAGACAAAAAGGGATCTCTAAATCTCTTCACTTAGCTTTTGGCTCTAAAATGGTCACTAAACAACAATGATATTGTGACTTCAGAGCAGTCAGAAGGGGATTCTTCCAAATGCAGAAGAACTGAATAGTGACAGACAAATGGCCTTTTGGGATAACTACCTATGGGGATGTATTTCAAGGGAAATATTTAGTGCAGTATCCTGAATTTAGATTCAGAGTACAAAAAATAGTTTTATTTAAAAATTAGAAAATATATTTTGGGTAATGGAGTCTCCAGAATTCAATCTGAATTGACCTACTTGCATTGATGAATCAGGTGATAACTAAATTTCCCTTTTAGTTGGTCCTGTTAAATAGAACCATAAAATGGTTGTGATATTACTCATCTGATATGAGAAGGAAATCAGCGTTTTATTTACATTATGTACCTGTTTCAACAGACTAAAGCAAACTTAAGGTGAAGGGTTTGAGATCTGAGTTTTGTTTACCTATTCTTAACACTTTGGTTTTTAGATTTGCTTGGAAATATAGAAGAACTCCTTCCAAGCCTCCCAAAAGATATCAGTGTTTGGGGGATGAAAGATTCTGTTCCACAAGGTGTAATTTCACTCAAAGAAAAACTGAGCACATCATCTGATGAGCCTGTGCCACGCAGCTACCATGTTGCCTCAAGCCTCAAGTCTACGTGTCTTTATATTTTTACCTCCGGAACAACAGGTATGATCCAGTTCTTCTTAAGGCTTAAAAAGAATGCAATATATTTGCAAAGCAAAGTGTCGGGCAACTTTCTGCCGTGTGTAGTGACCAAACATCTGAGAAAGCATGCGTGCAAGAAGGTTCTCAAATCCTACAACTTTCAAACTTGGATGAAAAAGTTAATTGCTTTAACTTTGACTTGGCAAATCATCATGTTCACTTAACCCCTGTCTCATTTGAAAAGATTTTCTTTATTTGTGGTAGCATAAAGGGCATTGAGATATCTGAAGACCTTGATCCAGCCTCGTTGCTCAGTGTATTATATCTGGCCAGCTTTTTTGGTAAAATCTTGGCTGCCTTCTCTGATCCTCAGATTCTTCACATATAAAATGAAGAGATTAGTTTAAGTAGTTTCTAATTCTCTTCTGCATTTGAAAATCTGTAAAACTACTTGAAAAGCATCTGTAGCTGTTTCTCTGATCCTCAGATTCTTCACATATAAAATGAAGAGATTAGTTTAAGTAGTTTCTAATTATCTTCTGCATTTGAAAATCTGTAAAACTACTTGAAAAGCATCTGTAGCTGCTCTCCTGATTTTTCTTAGGGTAATTGGATCATATGACAGTCTTCAAGGCATTGCAGGTTTGGGAGAAGATACAAAATAGAATCAAGTAACTAAACTTTCCTTTTTTAAAGTAAACAACAAAAAAGAATAATGAAACTGCTTGAGAATTCAAAAGAAAACTTAAATTTCATTGATTCTTAAGAAAAATTGAATGGTATTAATGATAGGCTAAATAGGCTTTTGTAATTAGTTTGAAGATGATTGAAGATCTCATTTAGACATCAAAAATATTCTCTTACTAATTTCTTATGCATGGTAGTAATGTAAGAAGAACTACTCTTGCATAAGTAATGTTTTTATTACTTTTTTTTTTTTTTACTGTTTTGTGACTAACCAAGATCTCTTTTAGACTGGAAAGTATTTTTTTGACTATATTTAGAACAGCTTTGATAAGGGACCTAGAAAATGCTAGTATGTATCAAGTGGTCAGCATAAATTCATTCTCACTTCCAACCTTGAAAGGGAGAATAAAATTTTGGAAATGATATTCTTTGAAAAGTTCCAACAGAAGGTACCTAACAAGTTTGTCTTTATAGTTGTTTCCTTGTGAAAGGTCAAAAGTGACTCTGGTCTTCAAAACAATTTTTACCACTCCAGCTCTCCATCCTAAAGAGAACAGGATGGAGTAGACTAGTAACAGATTTTTGTTCCTCAAGGTACAAAATACCAGGGTTTATTATGCCTTTGCAAAGCAGGCTGAGAGCAAAAGCATTACTAATTTTTTGTTTGATATTTATTTGTATTAAAGCTATACAGCACAGAATTGAGAAAAAAATCTAATAGTTTCAGAAATTTCAGACAAAAGTATCCTGCTTATCCCCCTATTTTGGCTTTTCAAAAGCAACTACATTCAGTATTTTTAACCGTTTTTATAATTACCTCCCTATTTCTAAATACAATGAGTAGCTTACTAGATACTTAGTAGATATTTACTAAAAAGTATCTATTAATTTCCCACCATAGCAGATAAGACATTGTCTTCTTTCATCGCCACCCTACCCCTCCACTCATTTCTTTCTGACACTTTTCTTACCAGCATCATCCTAATATTGTTTTATCATAAATTTTGTGGGGTTTTTTGTTTGCTAGCTTGTTTAGTTTTCTATACACCTATAACTGGTTCATACTCACTGTTGTGACTTATGTTTTCTTCATAATTTAGTCCTGAGGTCTCTCTCTTGAGATTGGCCATAAGCCAAGATAGTTACTCTCTAGGAGAGCCCTGAAAGGGTGAAGGTTTGGGTGTATGTGTCAGGTGAGACACAATGAAGTGGTGTTATTAGTCCCTTTCTGTTGCTTATAACAAAATACTGTAAGGTCCGCTGCCGACCCACCTGAACAGCCCTAGAAAAAAATGCCTCGTTGTCAGTCTTTCCCTAGGTGGGAGAGCGAATTGCCCGGATTCCTCTTTCCCTCTGGTCCCCTTGGAAGGAGACGGGGGAAGAGAGCCGTGAAGAGAGGTGAGCACAGCCGCCAGCCCCAACCAGCCCATTTAAGGACACTCAGACGCAGTGCGGGTTCTGTCGAGCAGTTCTGTTTATTATCACACAAGCGCTTGCTTTTAAAGGCAAATGGGAAAGGGAGGTTTTTACATCCTCCAATCACCTTAAAGGTTACAAGAGCATACATCCTGTCTCAATGCCTAGCTATTGCAATCACGCAGTGTTCATGAGCGTGGAAGCACATATTTGGCCAATAAGGGCTAAGGCAAGGTTCCCGCAGACACTCCCACCCTAATTCCTCCCGGCGCCATCTTAGGCTGCCACGTTAATACGCCCTTGTGGGCCCATAATGGCACCGCTTGTAATGTCACTTAAGGTGGTGTTAGTTTTTAAGGCCCGACATCTCCCCCTTTTTGTTTTAATAAGGCAGCTGGAGGCGGCTAACCTTCCCAGCCTTGCCTCCATTCCCTCTGGTGGCTGTGCCTGTCTTAGGTTGTTTCCCTTTGGAAATCTTACCCGTCATTGACTATCCAGCCAAGTGGGGGCGGGGCAGAGCCTTATAGATTGGTGTTGATTTTTTAAAGGGCCATATTGACCCAAGGGCTGTCAGGGCTTTCATTATGGGCCACCTCCTCTACCACCTGGGTGAACATTATGAGAGAAGTGGTGTTGTACCTTATAGGGGACACAACCTGGCGAAGGGCAAGGAAAATGGCTAGGGGGCCCGCCAGGGAGGACAGCAGGGTGGTGAGCCATGGGGAACT